CCCCTCCCCCAACCACATCCGGCCCTGCCCCCTTCCCCACCCATCACCGCCCAGCCACGTAATTCAGCCGCCATACGCAGGGCAGCGCGCCTGGCAAAGCTTCAGCGAGCGGCGCCGCGAATTGGTGTTGGCAGGGATGATAAAACGAAGCCCCGGAAGGCTAAAGCACCATAGATCATCAGCAGAGCCGAGTTATTGTAATTGCCCTTTTTGGCTGGTGGCGGCTGGTGTTACCCCACTGCGGCAAAGGACGTTGGATGCCGCAGATGGGGTAGAGGCGAGGGGGTAGTGTGTACGGGTTTCTGGTGCGGGATTCGAGGCAGGGGGACGAGGTAGAGTGGGTGGATTGAGTGGCTACGTGGCGTGGACCTTTTAACGGTTGACCAAACCATCTAAGGGAGAGGGGTGATGGGTGGGAAGGAGGAGGAAGTATGCTCCTGATTTTTGCCGCGGATAGGTAGGATGGGGAAGGGCTGAAATACTGCTTGCTTCCAGAGTGCCCTTATTAGTGCGGATAGAGAGATGCTCAGGGTTGCTTCACATGCAGGATTTGAGGACAGAGTAAAGAAAAGGAATAAAGATAATAAATGGGGAAATCCCCTACAGACGGCGAGCTTTTATAGGACAATTTCCACTCATATAGACAAAATTTTTTTCCGTTTGCTTTTACTTTGTTTTTATGCGTTTGGTACTGTGTGACAGCAGTACAAAACGCACATTGTCACGGGGTTGTCTGTGTGTATTTGTGTGTGCGTGTCCCACATTTTGTCCCGGAACCACAAAAGCTAGGCGGCTGAAATTTTAGTATAGTGCCAACGGGTGACGCAGCAAATTTAAATTCAGCCTTCCCGTACCCGAGGATAACATGTACGGCCCCGCTAAAGTTTTTTACGTAAAATCAGTATCTCGGGAATCACGGGAGCTAAGAAGCTGAAATTTTATGGGTATATCCCCTGACCACGTACGATCCAGAAAATTTAAATTCAGCTCCCCGTACTCGCGGGTAATGCGTATGACCTCGTAAAGGTTTGGGCAGATAAAATTATTAGCACGGGAACCACGGAAGCTGGAAGGCTGAAATTTTGTGGGCGTGTCCCCCACTGATGTGCTACCTAGAAAATTTAAATTCAGCTTTCCCGTGCCTGCAGGTAACATGTACGACCCCGTAAAAATTTTTGACGGGTAAATTATTATCTCGGGAACAACGGAGTCTAAGAAGCTGAAATTTTAAGGTTGTGTTCCCGTGCCCATGAACGATCTTGCAAGTCAAAATTCAGCGTTCTCGCACTCTTGGGTAACACTCACGTCCCCTTGAAAATTTTTTGCGGGTAAATTATTATCTCGGGAACCTCAGAATCTCGACAGCTGAAATTTCAGGGTAATGACCCCCTGTCTGCGAATGATCTTGCAAATTCAGCGTTCCCGCACTCTCGGATATCACTTACGGCTTCGTGGAAATTTTGGCAGGTAAACTATTATCTCGGGAATCACGGAAGGATATTCACCCTTCAAAGTTTCAGATTCAGCTTCCATGCGCTGGTGCGTAAAATTGTTAACTATTTTTCAACGTTTCAACTATTTTTCCACAGACTAAAGTATAAAGCAGTGAAAATCATTAATAGGTAATCATTCGATGGACGGAATTGTACAAAAAGCATGATCGCACCGGCTAGTCTGGTATGCGTTGCTATTTATTTACTTTAGGCTCACATTTTTCTTTTTAATTTATTCCTGCTCCCAGGCTTGCTTTAATTTACTTTTTTTTGTATTGCTCTGTTTCCTCTTTCTCTTTACTGCTGTATGCTGTTTTTGTCTCGAGCTTCTGATTTGTATCCTCGTTCCCCTTTACTTTGGCCTCAAATCTTGCCTGCAAAGCAAACATCTGAGCTCCTCTCCATCCCCCATTATAAGAGCACTCTGGAAGCAGTACTTCAGCCTTTCCCTACCCTAGGTATCCGCTGCAAAAACCAGGAGCACACTTCCTCCTCCTTTCCCCCACCACCTCCTCCCCTCATCCCTACGTGGTCTAGGCAATCGACCATTCAGCCCACTCACCCAACCTCCCTCCACCTGCCTCAAACCCTCACCCGTAGAACCCTCACACACCCCCCCTCCCCCACCCGCCCCACACT